TTTTTAAAGGGCAATAGAAATATCTTGGACAAGGTGAAAGGACATTTTGAGCTCTATGGAATGTTTAAGACATCAGTGGATGTCTTAGCTAACACCTGATGTTACCTTGAAAATACAGCAATGGACCTGGCCAATATTTTTCATGGTCACTTTGCTGTACAAGGTATAATTGTGCATGAAATGAAGTAAGGAATGACACTCACCGGTGACCACCAGAAATACACTGGCTTAACAGAAGCCCTGGTCTGTTATATCATCTCACAGACATCAGTGTCTTTTCTTGTGACTAAAAACCCTGCAGAAATATATGTTTATGAGTTCTAGAATATACAGTCCAAACCAATTTTTTTTCCTGTGCCAGGCCTCAATTTAAAGAATAAATTAATCTGTTTAAATTTTGGTCTAAAAACTAAACTGAATCTTAGTACTTGTTTAATTACTCCAAGAAGAAAATAATCAACACTATACTGATACTTTCTGTACAAAGATTTCATTATTCTTTGTGCTTCATAAACTCATACTTGTCCTCATAACTTATATAGGGTATGAAAGTTGCTACAGAAGATATCCAGAAATATGAGAAATTCTGAGATCTGTGAAATAACTCTATTTCTCATCATTTTACCAAGGAAAGAATCAGAACGACACACATGCAAAACTCACAAAGGCCTTGCTGCAAATTAAATTGCCCTTAATCTGACATTTCCAAAAGTACATCATTGACTGGACTTCAGAAAAGTGCTGGGTGAAAGACTGCAATTGCATTGAGCACCATAAGCAGGCTTCAGTCAGAAGAAATTCTTGAGAGAAACTACCCTTAGAATTAAAAATAAAATATTTATTATGGAAGAGACAATATAATCCATCATTCTCATATTAGACACTAGTAAAAAAAAGTTATATCTTGCAAAAGCTAAAGAATCAGACATAATACAAGGATTTTAAGCAGATAATTATATCTTGTAGGAAAGCACCATCTAAAGCTATTTCCAAAAGAACTAGTTTGTGGCTGATTACCAAAACTGTCAAGACTGAAACACTTATTCTTAAGAACTGTTAAATTATACTGAAAGTTATTTATTGCTTGTTAGAAAATAGAATGTGATTTGCATTCTTTCATTATGAAAAGTATTGTTCTCTGCTCTGGTCACCCAAGAAGAGAATTTAGATCACCCAAAAAAGGCAACCCTATAAAGTTTTTAAAAAATAAAATAAACTCCTGGGTGGAATTACAATTTACCTGACAAAGAAATTCTAGTTCTGATGTAGTTGTGTATAGGATATGACCACAAATCACTTTGAGTTTGACTTTCAGTTTGACTTACTGCAAAATTATCTTCTATATCAGTGAATAAAAAGAAAAAAAAAGGAAAAAAGTACCATGTTTGATTTCTGTAAATCAAATTGAAACAGTTTGGCCAAGCATCTCAAACACAAGTCAAGGAGCTAATTAAGTCCCAGCTAACTGGCAATGATTTCTTTATCATATAACACAGCTTGAGGCAACACAATGTAAATTGTGGGTGGTTAACAGCAGTTGCTGGCTATTCTCTAAATTGTGAAGTCGAAAACAAGATCACAGAAGTCTTCACCACCCTAATGTGAACATCTTGTTAATGTTCACTACCTAAGTACAAGCTTAGGCATTTAGCGCATGTTAAAAGATTGTGAAAAAAAGTTCTTCTTCAAAGAAAACACATAAAATTCTCTTAGCTATGTGGACTCTGTCAGTGCCAGAGAGCTGATCTATCATTATCCACTTTATTTCTGATTAGGTTTTCCTGCTGGTTGAATGAACACTGGTTCTCACTGCTATCACACACACAGGATGGAGAACGCCAGCCAGTGTGGAGAGGCAGGCACCCACACCCAGCAGAACAGTCTGCTGGGCTGAGATACCAAGATACCAATGGTTTAGGTGCTGAAGGGAATGCTCCATTTAGAACAGGCTGGGGAGCAGAAACTGCTGAAATCCAATAAAAAGTTTCTAAATGCTGAGGAAGTCACAAGGAGGAGGCTGGCAGACAATACCTCCTACAGTTATACAGAGCACCCATGTCTGCTTAGCAGCCCTGTAGGAGCAGGATAATTTACTCTTATCATCAACATTGTATGACATTTTTCTGTTTCCTATTTCCAAAGGACTGGAAGGTATAAAAAAAAAGGGGGAAAGAAAAAAGAGTTTTCTGCACAAATTATAATTGTACAGATTTGCTTTTAAGGGCAGCTGTTTCTCAGAGCTGGAAAATATACAGAATTTCATATATCTGATTCTCTGCTAGAAGCACAGGCTAGAAGCCAAACTAATCAAACCTCTATCAAAAATACAATTTTAACATCTATTTGGACTTGGACTTATCTCACTGCTCCCAGACACTATTGATTATCATTATCTGCATGTCTCTAGTATTCTAAACAGCAGCAGCAAAGGGAAATGAAAGTGAGCATTTCCATACAAAGACAGATAGAGGCTTCTAGGGCAGAATGAAAACTGCTGGTGCTGACTGAAAACAGAGCCTAACTTCATCTCAACTTCTATAAATACACTGTAAATACAAAGGAATGAGATACAGCCTAAACTAAAATCTTATTAAAACTATAATGAGAAATAAGGGGTTTCACCAAAGGAGAAAAGGTATTACATTATCAGAGACTGGTTGCTGTCTACACTGCACTTGGCAAGGTTAGGTATGATTGTTGTCTTTTTCTTTGCAACAGACTTCTCCTCATAACTTTGGTCTATTATGTGCTTGACTGGACCACAGGAACAGGATATGAAAACTGTTGTTGGTAGCAACTCTGTTGGAGTACGCAATGAAAGTTTTTGCTTTAGCAAAGTAACCTCATCCTTGCCTCAGAAAACTAAAATCTGCAGAAAGCTAGAACCCCAAACAAGGGTATAGCCTTGAAGCCTTTCCCTCTCCATTCTTTCCAGCCTCAAGTACATAGGTGCTCATGTATCTGCTCCTGAAGAAGCAGATTTTCCTTACTTCCCATCCTCCAATACTTACATGAATCCAAGGTAAACATTGTGTACTTCAGAGACCTGCACAGGAGATTTTACAGACTTCAGAGCTTAAAAGCAGGAAGAGCAAGATAAGTGCCTTCTCTTAATCCCATCTTTGCACACATCAGGGTGGTCAATCTTTCTCCCTTCTTACCCACAACAAGGTTGTTTTCTCTTTAATTTGCAAGTAAAAAAAAAAGAAAAGACAACTATTCAATGCTCACAATTCTACCATGTTAGAAAAGAGAAATCAGCCACTGGGATGTTTCAGTCTCTCTATGGGTTATGGACCAATAATTTAGGACAGAAAATTGTTGATATTTGCCAAAGAGTTTTGGTCCATCAAATTTTATACAAATATGAACCAAAACAAAGAGGCCTTCAAGGATACAGATACAAAAAGCTAGTGGATGTATCATCAAAACCACTTCTAGACTAAGGGAACTATTTTCTTGTTTAATTGTTCAAAGTTCTACAGGTCACATTTTTTTGTGTCCCTCTACCCAATGAAGACTCAACAGCAGATTTTGACCATCCACAGCAATGTACAAAGCAAGGCTCAGCAATCACCAGACACCAGAGGAGAGAGGAATCCATACTGAGTTTCTACTATAAGTAGTAAGTTATCTACTTGGCAAAAAAACATTGTTTTTTTCATGTTTTCAGATAATGGAACAGGTTACTCATACAGTTTGCACAATCTGTCTCCATTCTTGCAAGTTTTAAGACCTGCCTGGTAAGGCCCTCAGTAATTTAATCTGTCCTCACAGCTGACCCTGCCCTGAGCAGGAAGAGGTCACTGAATGACCTCTGGAGGACTTATCCAAACTGCCTCCCATGCCTCTATGTTCTATTGTATATAAAACCCTCCCAAAATTAAGCAGAATTATTCCCCCAGATTTCAATGCTTCTTCATCTTATTATCAACCCACATATCCCAGATGTTTAGTGATTTACCTGACAATTTAGAGGCAAAAGGAAAAAGAGGGGAAAAATAGGAAAAAGAAGAAGGAATACTTTCTTTTAATTCAAAACACTGCTCATAATTGGATGCAGCAGAAGTGTTACCTACTGCAGATGTTTCAATCACATAACAGATACATGATTTCATGCTACACTAACATATAATTTGTTCCTATATTAAGATGGCCTATAACTACAAACCAGCCTTCAGCATAATAAATGAAAAACATTTTAGCTGTAATCTGGTTGACTATTTTATAGACAGCATAAGAAGCTGTGGGATCTTAGTTTAAATGCTTTATCTATGCCGCTTGGTCGTGAGACTAGCAAAAATACCTTCTTTTTCTTCAGGTTTTTTCTCCTTAAGTAAATGTTAATTTACACTTCCATCACTATGAACACTGGTTAATAAAACATTTTTACATACCAAATATATTGCTGATTAGCAGGAGATTATAAACATAAATCTAAATATGACTGTTGAATGGACTGTCTTGGCCTCAGTAATTTACAGGAAAAATCATTTATCCAACAAAACAACAATGCAGAAATGTGAAAATTGGCTTTGTAGAGGATGCTTGAATGGAAGCACATTTAGTTCTAACACACAAACCTTCTAGACACTGGATGTCCAACAGGAGCCTGAATCACCTGTCATCTATTTATGGCAGCAAATTTCTTTTAAAGATTAACACACAGGCTGAGAAATGTATGTGCATGCATATGTAATTTATCAAAGGGTATGCAGGTGTACAGACCATGACACATTCCTCAGAACCACTCAAATGGTGTGAGCTGTAACACTGTGAAAGGAGACCCCTGTAGCATAAGTACCACAATCTCTGCATACCCTTTATCCTAGTGCTCAGCAACAATCAGATCATGAAAAGATTCCTTGCTGAGCAGTCTCATCTCCTTGCAGAAATGTACCTAAAATTGAACAATTCTACACACAGGGAGGAGGCACTGGACCAGCTGGCAGAGGGGAGATATTCTGGACAAAACAAAACCAAATGACACCAATACTTACTTGGCAGGCATTATAAATCAACTGGTGTTCCAATTTTTTGATCCCTAGAATCTGCTGAAACATTTCATAAAGCTGTTCCTTGCTCAGAATCAGCTCTGATACAGCACTTAAGGCCATTCTGTTCGGCTGTTTGCACAAGTCCTCTTCTCCCCTGTATATGGCATCGTATTTGGCTAGCCAAGAACTTAACACTGTCTCTTTGCTTAATCCATCGATTTCCGGCAAACTTCGGACTCTCTTTTCTATGTTTTTCTTAAAAACATCTCTAAAGTCACTTGCAGAACATCCTCCACTGTGGACCATTCTTGCAACCCGGTCACTCTTGAGAAATACCTTTTAAAGTAAAAGAAGAGAAAAAGAAAGAAACAAAACCAGTTAGGCATGAACACAAATACAAAACAATCCCTGTGTAAGGGAATACAAGATAGTATTTTGCTCCTACACAAGACGGCTTTATATGACAGTTATAGTTTGTTATGTTTGTTATGTTTTTTCACAAAGAAACAAATGACCATGTTTAAACCAAGTTTCCACACTGAACAAGTACTTAAACTGAGTAGTTTTACAAGTTGTTTATGCATAAATTTAGAATAGCTAGACTAGATGAACTTTGAATTAACAGCAGCTAATTTAAAATTTGCCCACAATGAGACATAAATCCAGGAGGAAAAAAGCAAAACAAACAAACAAACAAACAAAACAAACCCAAAAAAACCAAACCCAAAACCCCCAAAAAATTAAAGAAACGCCACAATCAATATTAACAATTGAGAAGATAGACTTGAAGACACAGAGCTCCTTCTACTACTGGAGATACAATACTGGAGATACAGTATGGGATTCTCTGTGTAAAATCAACGAAGACAAACATAAAAAAGCCCCTCCCAACTACTCATATTCTAAGACATGAGAAGTCAAATTACAACAACAAACCAATTAAATCAGTTCCAGCATACTGTAAAAACTTTTCAGTGCTCAAGAATGGTTGTTTTCAACTCTTCTTTTAAAAGGGCCTTGGCAAGGTCAATCTTTCCAGACACTGTATGTGGCCTGCATGTAGCTCATTTTAGTACCAAGTGTCATGAATCTGTTTCTCTACAAGATGCAACCAACAAAAAGGTGACAATGCAGCACTATCACCTGTGTAAACAATGGAAGTGTGCCTTGGACAGGGATTAAACTGCATAATGCCATTGAAAGGATAACTCAGGGAGAACCACCTGAATTCTGCAGAAGAGGGAGATGAATCAAGACCCTCCTCCCTGCATGGTTCAGCTGCTGGCAGCTGCTTGGGTGCCACACCAACATCCCAAACACAGCAGAAATGCAAGGAACAGCTGAGATACTGAAAAGTTGAAACAGAAGTATGACCTTTCTGACTGTCTGCTTTCTTCAGTCAGATGTATGACCTGGGAATTTAGCATGCATTTTCAGATAGTCATTGCAGTCACCAAGAGCTATGAAATCATATATGATTTTGTGAATGGAGATGATAGCACAGGAGAGCTCTGACTCCAGGTCATGTTAGAAGATGGCGTACCTAACAACCAACCTAACCCAACCTACTGTGCTTCACTTTGAAAATATAGAAAAGTGGAGTAAGAGAGGAGCTGAGCAGAGGAGTACACAGATGCAAGCAGATCAAGAAAAAATAATTCTAAAATTTTAGTGCTTGTCAATGCATGTTCTCTTGTAGCATATTTTAAAATGGGGTTACTATTAAAATGTATTTTTCAACAGATATCCTAATTGATATTGTACAGAAATGCTGCAGATTAAACCTAAAAGTATTTGCCCAAAGAGATTATTTAAAAACACCCCATCACCAATATATGCTAATCACATGTTATGCTCTATCTGTACCATGATACATTTCCTTTTATGTAAACATGAGCATCTATGGGTAAATTCTTACCCATAATGGGACTTGACACAGTTACTGTCAATTAATGCTTACATTAATTTCCTCAAAAGACTACAAAAATATTGAATTTCAAAACAACTAATTTCAAAACAACTAATAGTCAGAAATTCTATTCAGCAATAACACTTATTCATACAAACAGGTACAAGGATATTAAATCTTGCCTTGTTTTAACAGTCTGCAATTACAAACGATTCATTCCTCTAACAGCTTCACTGGTAAAAAAAGATTACTTCAAACTTATTTCAGCTACTTTGTACTGTTCATAAAAAATATTTAATCTTCCATCACATTTGCCTGCATATCAACGAGAGAAAGCAGATGCAGAAGACAGTGAGAAATTAAGAATATTTATAGACACTTCCCACCCAAAATCTCATATTCATGCAAGATTACACAAACTGATGTATTGCTATTATAACTGGACCAGTCTTGTAAAAACAAAACAAAACAAAAATCCCACACAAAACCAAACCAAACCAAAAAAACCCCAAACAAACAAACAAAAAATTCCACCAAAAAATCCAAAAACCAAAAAATACACCCAAAACCTAAAAACCCCAACTACAAACCTGCAAAATACACACTGTAAGAACATCAGCATATCATTCACCTTGCGTTACCTTCTTTCCATATTATTCAAAATTATTAATCCCGAATGAAAGGGCTGTAAAGCTGCTAGCACTTTCCTTGATTTATAAGACATACTAATTCAAAATTTATTTGGGATTCTGAAGTTCATTTTCAAGAGACTTTTTTCCAGGAAAAACTCACTCCATGTTTTTGACCACTTAACCATGGAAGGGAAGCACTATTGCAACACTTGGTGCACGTAATAATCACAAAATAATGGCATGTTCATGTTGGACAAAGCAAAAGGTATGTACAAAAAGAGAAGTACAATATGAGTGTGCTCTTTACTCTAAAATACTCCCTTATGATGTGTTTTGGGTCACAAACTGTATTTTTATTAAATTTTCAAAAATTATTCCAAGGTAATTATTTTTCTGGATACAATGGATATGATATGATATAAACTCAAGGTGTGAATAACAGGGTATGAAAAACATGGTTTGTTCTGCAAAGGAATCCACCAGACCTAACGCTCTTATTGTACTACTGCTATTCGAGTGGAAATTTACCATTTTTTCCCTGAGGGGGGAAAAAAAAGTAACATCATCTTTACAATAAACTAAAAGCATTTAAGATAATTAAAAAGCAATAATAACATTTTAGCGAAACTATTTCATATCCAAGGATTTATTTGCAACAGAAAACCATAAGAGAATAGAAATTCTACTAGGACTGTATCAAATGTGTCACAAATTTAAAACACTAAGATGCATTAAAAAGCTATTAAGTGTCTCATTAATCCTGTTCCTGAAAGACATATGGTACACTTCATGTTGAAGGTAAAATCCTTTGCTTCAGTTAGACTTCTTGAGATTCATCTGAGTGAATGAGCTGATTTCAGAGATTTCAAAGATATACGAGCAGCACAATCATCCCCCATGAGGGAAAACATTTTTATTGATATTTATCTTTAAAGCAAAATACTAATTAAGTACATTCACTAAATGTCTGGTTCTTACTGCCTTCATTCCTGTATTTCAATTGATCAATAGACTTGGTTCTAATTAAATAATTATTAAAAACTTACAATGTAAAATGTTATGTCAAGTCTCCCAACATTAGGGAGGAACTGGAGGTGAGAAATATTAAGAGGTTTGAGTGTGAAATATAAAACATCAGAAAAAGTTATTTGGGCACAAAGAAATTTAATTCTGCATGGAACTAGATTTGGCAGATCAGCCACAATCTTTTGAAAATCCACACATTATTCAGAAAAAACTTTGCAAGACTCAAAGTTTTTAATAAAGCATTTCTTGTTACTACCAATATTTTCCAGACTTCCTCAAAGACATTCTGGATTGACACTGCTGCCAGTCAGCATCTGAATGTCTAGTATCATTACTAGTTTATTGAACCCACAAATCAACATCAACTGTCCATGAAACTCACTGCTAACAAATTATCAAACACTAAAAAGGAGTGCTCTATTAACAAATAAAATGCATTCTGGAGAAAACAGATTGTTCAAATACAGGTTTTGATGGGCCATAAATATCCACTTTGAGGAATTTTTTCAATTCATGTTATTTAGAGTCCTCCTGAATACTTCTGGACTGAACCAGACCTTCAGTTTCTGACGGATAAAGTTCAACTCATTCAAAGGTGAGATAACATGTTGAAAAAAAAACCCCAATAACAATTGTAATCTACTGAAGCACTGTTTAAATTCACTTTTTTCCCAGTCATTACACATACACAATTTCATCTACTGCAAATGCTAGTAAAAAAGCTTAATTCAAATAGTCTTTAGCACTAGATAATTACCTTACAGTATTTTTTGTTTAAAGATGAAAAATCATTATTTAGCAGGTCTACAACTTAAGAAAATGTAAGAAATATTATGAAAACAAGTGATTTTCACTTCTAGAACATACTCCTTAAATAACTTTTCTATTTATTGGACATCATACCAAATTTAACTAATTATACAATTAGGCAACACAAACATGATTATCTTATTCTCTACTGTAAAGCTTAGGAAGAAGAAAATTCAAGCAAATACAGTAGGATAGGTGGACCACAAGAATGGTTTTTTAACCTCTGAAAGCTTCTTGTTCATCTGGCCTTTGTGCACCTTCTAGTAGTGCAAAAGCACCAACATTCTCCTCCTCTTTAAGCAGTGCAGAACTTGGAGCTTCATTTGCCATCTTCCATAAGGGCCACTAAGGACTTTTCTTCATTTTTGATGGTGACTTCTGTTCCTGTAGCTTTGAGGAGATCACATTTACACTTTAGACATGTCCTATGTTTTAACAGTCAGGGCTCAATGCATCATCTTTCATGGAAAATATTGTGGCAGCTCAAAATGCACACACATCGCTGGGACAGCAAACAGCTAGACATACTAAACACCACCTGAATCAAATTATTACCTTTCTTACAATCAGTATTTCAAGCTGCATAACAGCTTTTTTCACTCCTGCTAAATTCTGGATGCAAACCCTTGGCTCCATGCACATTCCAGCACAGTAAGAAGTGTGTGACAGGTGCACTCAGCCACATGACCAAACTAGCAGCAGTGTGGTACAGGCTCCAGTGGAGGTCATGGCTTGACCAAGAACTGCTCTAGTTCCCATATGTTCTCTGATAATCCACAAAGGAGCAGAGGGACCCAAGTGAGCACTGGTGACCTTGGAACACTGATCAGGCGATTCACACATGAACAGCAGGTGGCTTTTCCAAGACCCATTTATTGAGGAACAAAGAAGGCTGTGGGTACAAGAAATCTCACTAATACCTCTCCCACTGCATGTAATTTTAATCAAAGCCAATCACT